AAATAAATAAAATCTTTAAAAAAAAAAAAAAAAAAACTTGATATAACCACCTATCATGATGGACGTTAACTAGACTTACTGTGGTCATCATTTCACAATAAATATAAATACAAAATCATTATGTTTTACACGTAAAACTAATGTTTTATATCAACTGTACCTTGATTACAGATTTTAACAATTGATGTTTACAATAAACTAGAACCGTCCATTCAGGACCATCCTATGTCTTATTCCAGCTACTCTCATTACTGCACATCACATTCTGGAGCCACACCAAGATCACTACTGAATGAACATACTCACCACTACTTAATACATTTATTATCCAGAGACGATTACTGCCTTTAGTATCATCAAGCAAACCTGTCAACACTCTATTCATAATGGGGGGAGAGAGGTTAATGAATACTTAAGAAAACCCGATATCATGCACTGTGACCATGTTGGTGTAAACACTTTCAAGTAATTAGACAGCTAGATGTCACGCAGGTAGAGAAGTCATCTAGGAAAAGTAGAGAAATAGTCCTGTGGATCTCTAACTGCTTAGCCACGACTCAAGAACAAACTGCCAAAGCTTCGTGGATTAGAGGTTGATGCTGAAGCCACCCACCTCCTTCCATAAAGGCCAAACAGAAAATTAAACGCCTACCTGAAAAATCACTGTCTAGATACAAAAAGGTTTTATAATGCATCCACACAAGCACATTGCTCTTTGAAATTTAAAGAAAAAATTTATTGAAGATCTGAAAAACAATTCCTAAAAGATTGACTTCTCCAGAAAACTGCAGCTACACAATGCATTGCATCTATTATGTTAAAACGTGCATTAGACACAAATACAAAAACCATGAAACAAGCCACCATTCTTCAACAATCTGAGCATAGATAAAATGCCTAAGGAACAACATGGATGGCCTGCAAAGGATGGGCTCTTTACTTTAAGCACCATTAAAAAAAAAAAAAAGGAGCACAAACGGATGAGCGTGTTCAGTTATATACACTGAATTGAACCTTTGGCACTAGGAATCAGAGCATTTGTCATAGAGCATTAACACATATTATAAAAGTGCGTAGTGTCAAAGGAATAGAACCACCAGCATTCAAAGCAGCTTTGTCGACTAGGCAATAGAACACTCTACAGTATGTCTCTCCGTTGTCCATCACTGAATACACTGGTAGCAACTTTGAAATGAAAAAAAAAGAAAAGAAAAAAGGAGCTGTAACCCCTTTTATTTTCTCTGTTTAAGATCAAACAGAAAACAAACATCAACTCTGTTATACACTAACATTTTCAAAGTACATCATTTGTACAAGAGAAGGACTAAACAAAAATGTGTTTACAGAGATCCAAACGAAGTGAGGGCTGGCACCTCGCCTCACACGGCCTTCCGATGGTACTCAGGAGGAGCCACTTCATAATCGCTGGCACTAAACAAGGTTGCCGAATTCTTTGCCAGGTATCTAAAAACAAAATGTCAGTCGTTATAAAGATGAAGGAGAATCCTACCTTGATCTAAATCAAGGCACAGATGCTGCACAAAACAGTTTCTCTGAAAATATACTAAAATAAAGGCAACTTCACGGTAAAACCCTGTCATTACAACTCAGATACACAGGGCCATACACACCAGTCAGTGATGCATAAAGAACGAAGAAGTCCAGAGTCACTCCCTCATTTCCGAACAGTAAAGAATAGCTGTCTTCAGAATACCAACTTGAGAGCTGGGACTGTTTTTAGGAAACAGATGTTGCATCCTAAAGGAACATCTAGTGTTTTCTTTAGCTCTTTGAAACTCAATGTATGAGATACAGATTCAGAAACTGACAAACACCATAAAAATCAAAGGGTCCTGAACTGAAGTGTTCAGCGGTACAACACTTTGAGTTCATTAAAAAAAAAAAATCCAGGCAGAGAGAGGACCTCTCCTCATCACCAGGAGAGCAAGGACTAGAATGCTGCATACATTCCCAGGCATGTGTTGCAGTTTTGAGATTATAAAACACACAGTAACACGCTAAGAAAATTCAAATACAGAAACAGATAAAGTAGAAACGGACCACTTCAACCTTCCCTCCCAGAAGGGTGCCCAGGAACTAATCCACCATTTGGTAGGATCCACACCTTTCTAGATCTTTTCCAAAGAGTACAAACGTTTCTCCACAAATGAGGGGACTCACACACCTACTTTTCCTGCAACTTGGCTGTTTTCAGTTGCCGCAACATGGACATCTTTCTCATCAGGATGTTTACAGCTACATCCTTTAACAGCGGCTTGGCTATTGAGAATTCACTACTATATACGTGTATTTTACACCTTCATGCATTTGGAAATCTTTGTGCACTTCAATGTATCTACGGGGTCAGTTCCCAGAGAGGTTAATGGTCTGGTCCGAGGGAAGCACATTTGAACTGTCAACAGGCATTGCCAAAATGCCCTCCACAAAGCTGCGGAAACCAGAACTGCCCTTTCCCCCAATTCTGCAGTCCGGTTAATCTCGGCCAGTGCGACAGAGACCCCCTGACCATGGGAACCCTGCACCATTTCGGTAGGCCACTGAGCTGCCGCCGCTGTGGAAACCCACCATGCTGATTGTCACTGCTTTGCTCACCGTGATCACAACTCTTCTGTTACTATTTGTTACTAATTTTTAATCACAGAATTTTAACTTTTTACAAGTCAAAATGATTATTCCCTATTTATTTAAGACCTTTCTCACTCTAAAAATAATGAAAATACTACCATTTTTCCATCATTATCTTAATAGTTTCTATTTTAGATTTATACTTTGGATTAATCTAGAATTTTGGTCTGTGACAGTAAGTGTGGATCAGATTTTGTTTCCTTCCAAAGACTTAGCCAGCTGATCCCGTCAGACGCCACCCCGGCATTTGCGGCAGTCAACACCTGCACTCATGCTGTTCCACTGACGTCTCTCCTCCATCCGCATACTGCTCTGTTCTCGTCTGTCTTCTATCTATAATGCCGATGGATCAGTGATTCTCGGTACTCTGTGCTAATCCATGTTTGTAATTTCAAGCACACCTTTAAACTTACTTTAGGAAATCATGAAGATAATTTAGCAACAATGCAAGGCTTTTCTCATCCAGAGGAGTATAGGCCAACATTGCTCCAATTCGTACTGTGTAAATAAAATAATGTAGTCAAAGTTACATACGAGACAGCACACTAGAAGCACTATTTTTGTTATGTGAGCAGCAAATGCAATCACTGACTCCTTTAAAATATGTGATTTTAGAAACTCTACTTTTAAACAGATTTGATATTTAACATTTTAGGTAGAAAATTCAAAATGGAATGTTCTATGTTATTTTCTGTTACCCCTTGATGTCAATTAGTAAAGACAAAAAATATTAAAAACCCAAAGGATAGGGATGCCTGAGGGGCTCAGTTGGTTAAGCGTCTGCCTCTGGCTCAGGTCATGATCCCAGGGTCCTTGGATCAAGTCTCACATCGGGCTCCCTGCTCAGTAGGGAGTCTGCTCCCCCCACCCCACCGCTTGTTCTCGCTCTCAAATAAAATCTTAAAAAATAAGATAAAGAAATAAAAAACCAAAGGATAAAAAATAATTTTTTTCTGGGCGCCTGGTGGCTCAGTCGGTTAAGCGACCGCCTTCGGCTCAGGGCATGATCCTGGAGTCCCGGGATCGAGTCCC